TGATTCCGTGAAGTGTCACCCATTCATTCACGTTGGCAAGAGCCTCGCAGGGCTGACAGGAGCCTCCCCCCCCCAAAAAAAAAAATTCATATCTAACTGGAATTTCCCTTTTGTAGTAGTGTCTCTTGCCTCTTGTCCTGTCCCTGTGCACCTCCAGGAAGAGTCTGGCTCCATCTTCTCTACACACCCCACTAGGTATTGAGGACGGCAAAAAGATCTCCCCCGAGCCTCCTTCTCTTTCATCATGTGCTCCAGCCCCCGCACCAGCTCCATAACCTCTCCTGGACTTGCTCCAGGATGCCAATTTCTTCTTCTCTATTGGTATTCACTCAAGTAGCAGTAAAGGGGGAATGTAGCAGTAATGTGTGGGAAGGACACATGAAACAGAGAATAGACAAACTGCCAGATTTAGTGCAGGAAAGCACCCAGCTCCTGCTTCGTTCTCGCTGGGTTAAATCTGATGCCAGCAGAAAAACTGGCAGGAGGAGGCAGTCGATCAGATCCTTATTATTACCTGTAACTGCAGATGGACAGAAGGAGACATCCAGCCCATTCAAGGAAGAGTTAATATGTGCGTTCACAAAGCATTCAATGGCAGCTTTGTCACAGTTGCAGAGGAACTGTTCACAAGGATCCCCAGACTCTGGAAGTAAAATAAAAAACCCAACAAGGAACTATTGAAATATCTTTCCTGCTTCCTGCTTTTTCCTCCCTGTAAGGTTTGTGTCTATATTCATTAGTGCAAACCTATTTATACTGTGCTGCTTCACATTAAATACAGTCAAGTTTCATAGTCCAACACAGTTTGTTTTTGAAACACCAACCAAAGTAGCCTGGCACGGCTGGCATTAGCCTTCTTGCCTGTGCTGGTTCATTCTGCAGAGTACTGAGGGCCACAGAGCAGTTCTTTGCTGCCTCTGTTTTTTCCATGGAAAACTTAACCCAGCTGATACTGAGTTTGACATTTCACAGACTTCATTAAAATATTCCTCCTAACCTCAAGAAGTCATAGTCCACAAGCCAAGCTTTTCAAGTAAGATGAGTCTTTCTCCTTATAAAGAGTTTGCTCCTATGAAAGTTTCCCAGCAAATACTATTTTCCTACTTCAAAACTTTCTTCCTTTCAGGGTTTCAAAAAAAATGTTCACCTTTCAGAGCTGTCACACTTCTGTTTCACATTTTTGATGGGGACTATATTTTTTTGTTCCTCTTTTTTTTTTTTTTAGTTTGAACCAAATGTTTTCTGTTCATAAAGTATGAAAAGAGCTAAAAAAGCAGTACTCATGTTTAAATGCACTTGGACCTTTATAGATTGGCCTAAATAGCAAAAATGATTTTAACTTGAAACAAGAAAAGGAAATTGGATCATACTGTTGTTTAAACAGGCTATAAGGGTATGTTTTGGGGATTCTGTTCCTCTTTGCTGGTATCCTCAAATCATGTTCTAGCATATAGTCATTTCTCAGAGTCAATACTTGCTGCAAAATTATATTAAAATCGATTAGGTGTTAGAGAGCCGCAGTCCACACTTTCCAGGACTGTATTAGTATTGCATGGAGGAGCTTCTATTATAGCAGCATGGTCTCTGCCCTCGCTGGTGATGCTGTTGTAGCTGAGGAGTACATATGACCTTGTGAACAACGAATTTGATACCTCAAAGTATATTAAAATCAGGCCTTGAAGCTTCAGAAGGGAACTGTTTTTCGGGTCTTTCCCCGGCATCCGCTGCATTTCTGATGTGTGCAGATATCTCAAGCAATGCTTAGTGGTCCTGCAAAGCCAGGGAAACCTCGGCAAGAGGCTGCCTATTAAAGGAGCCCTGACAAATTTCTAGTTATTGGACTACAAATTCCCTGCCTAGTTGGACTTTGATGCTTCTGTATGTTCCTATTTCCATTCACCCCTGAGCAGAACAATGAAGCCCTTAAAAATCCACATGTGGATGTGGTTTCTGCTTCATTTATGTATTACTTTTGGTAGTTAGACCAGAACAGATGTCTCGGTCGTGGTGAGGCTCCAGTATTATGCTCTTGTGATAGGTTTATCTTACCACAGGTCAGGTTTTCAGTAGAGCAGCTGACATCTGTAGAAATCTTTGATGGGTCCCATGTGCACTCCATCTCTATTGCTTCCTCATAGCATTTGCGGTGCTGGAAACAGCATCTTAAAGAATGAAATAATGCAATTTATTTTCAGTTCAAGATCAGACTGCAATGCTTTCATGTTGCTCTTACACAAGAACACAAAAGATGCCAGAGGAGAAAAAGAGGTCCTCAGTGTGCTCCCTAGACACAAGAAAGGCTGAGTACTGCTTTCCCCTGAGTCAGACTGGTAGGTAAGTACAGCTGGATGCAAAACTCGGTGTTGAGGGCAGGTCTGCATGCTGTGGGAGACCACACTTATATTTCTGTCCTGAGTTCTTACAAGGACTCTAGAAGGAGTTTAAATGATAAATCCACTACCAGTGCCCAAATATCCACCCACAGCACTGTCAGCTCACTGCCAAACAGTGCCCCATGGCTTGGCTCTAGAGGTCTCGGATCCGGTCCTGTCACAACCTTTCTCACTGCAGATTTGGAGAACTACACAGAACCTTGCACTCAAGGAGGGATAATGTGTCTGCAAGGCCTTGTGAATCCCTGTGATTCGCTGAGACTGTATAAATACACGCAGTGTTATCCCATTTCTTGTACTTTCTGTTCCGTGCAACAATCAGAATTAAAATGCACTATTTAGCTGTGGGAAGGGGGCACAAAATATTTTTCTCATACTGGAGTAAAGCACCTTTCTCCCACCACCACACAGCAAAGACAGTTAGAAACTTTGACTTTTCCTGCAGCCCTGCTGTCATGCAGACCACAGATGTCTGTGCGACCACGTTACCTGTGAATAGCAATGAAAAGTCAACAAAAACAACCAGCTCCTCCTCAATCCTCTCTTCTCTTCACCTGGTTTTGAACAGGCAAGCCATCTACTTCTATGTTATAACAACATCTTTGTGTACTATAACAGCTATAAATGAAACACCAGTAAAACATGCAGCAATCACTTACCCCATATAAGATTGTTACATAAATTAAGCAGGGGATTGCTGTTAGATTTAGATTGAAATACCCTAATTTCAGAGGAATGGACTGAGAACAGGGGTCTGTTATTGAATTGCCATTGGTTTTGACCATGCTGAATGCAAAGACAGCATTAAGACTCAACCCCATCATCTGCCACCAGGAAGGGTTAACTTGCGATCACGATGTAAGGTGTTAACTTAAATTAAGCTCATGTGGAATTTTTGTAAAAGACACAGTGAATGTACTTTTATACATCACCCGCAGCCCTGCATATGCACTGAACACACCCGTGGACAGAAGCGCTCATGCACTGATGAGAGCAGGGAGCAAACACCTGCCCCTTGCAGGTTCCCTTCTAGGCTGCGCGTCCACTTTCTCACTCCCTATATTTAGGAAGCACAGAATCACAGAATGACAGAATGGTCAGGGTTGGAAGGGACCTCTGGAGATCATCTAGTCCAACCCCCCTGCCAGAGCAGGGTCACAGCATTCAATATTTAATCACTTACTGTATTCATAAATAATTATTACAATATGTAATATGTCCTCACAACCAGTGGAGCAGTCCTAATCGCCTACAGACTTTGGACTTGGTGAAAGGCATCAGTGGTGCAGTTTGCTCAGAGCACACAAACAGCGTTATCCCAGCTGACAAAGTTTCGAAGTCCAGTTTCTTGCACTCCAGTGTCTCTGAATGTTTAAACTGAATATTAGGAAAGAATTTTTCACAGAAAGAGTGGTCGGGCATTGGAATAGGCTGCCCAGGGAGGTGGTTGAGTCACCATCCCTGGATGTGTTCAAGAGCCGTTTAGATGTGGTGTTGGGGGATATGGTGTAGGGGAGAACTTTGTAAAGTAGGGTAGATGGTTGGACTCGATGATCCCAAGGGTCGCTTCCAACCTAGACAATTCTATGATTCTATGATTCTGCTGCCTGTTAGTGGTCTTGCTCCCTGCTGTAACCTGGTCTAGGAGACTGCAGGAATGTATTGAACAAAGGTGAGGGCAAATAGCATTCTGCAGAGAGGCCCCGATGGTTCCTCCACACCACAAATGCTACTGTGCCTTGTTTCAGAGGTGAGGCTGAAGTCTGTAAGCTCCATCAGGAGCAGGGTTTAAACATACAGCCAATGACATGTCTCAACACCCACTCCTGTCTCTGCCTGAGGTCCAGTGAGGCATCAGCACCTGAAATCTCCTCTAACTGCATAATTAGTCTAATGCAAACTCCCTGCAGTTCTTGGTTGTTTATAAAGAGCACTACAACTACATCAACACTTAATGCAATAGTTAATCAGAAAACTTAGTTGCCTAGTTTCTAAAAAACTAGTTTCTAAGAAATAAAGTTAGTGAAAAAATTGGAACTCTGTGGGAACTGTATCTGAGAAAGACACGTAGCAGCCACCTGTTTGGAGGCTCTCTTGAACCAAGGGCATATCTGTGTCAGTGGCAAAACAATAATCAGTTTCCATCTGCTGCAAACTGCAGTGGGGTTGCCATGCTGATGATGAAACCTCACCGCAGGACTGCTAACCAATTTGTAAACACAAAGTGGCTCTGTGGGCATTTCTCAGGACAAAACTGCTGATAGATCGTTCTGCTGTTTCTGTATTTACACTGCTCTGCATTAAAATGAAGCTGAGTGAAGCGAAAGCCCAGGTGCTCGGCTCTTCGTGTATCAATCCATTGAACTGACTCAAGCTCTCATTTCAGCATGTCATCACAATTGTTCAGAAAACCTTTCATAGGATGTCCCATGGCTTTTTTCCAGTAGCAGGGTTAAATCTTAATTTTCCTAGCCATCCTGTGCTGGAAAGTGGATGTATTAATTTCCATCCAGCTATAGGCATTAGCCCTTTCTCAACCATTGCTGTCTTCACTCGGAATTAATACGTTACCTTACATTCTTGGGAAAAAACTTTTTTCTATTTAGATGTGGATGGATCTTGATTGTCTTTGAATTTCTTTTCACACCTCCTGCTGGCATAAGTGAACAACCGTTTGATTGTTCTGGCCTGAGATTTTTATCACTAGCCCAATCAGACTGTGGGGCACTATCCCTCCAAAGCATAGAGTGGAGTTTGGATGGGTTTGTTCCTGCTGCATGGTACTGGCAAGAGCTATCGAGCTACATTGTTCTTCTCTGTGCCTGGATGCTCCAATGTCTTACAATTTCTGCATGTACACAGGTATTCAGGGCAAGATCTACTCACCCTCCTAAATGCCACTTGAATTCATATTCCGCTGTAACCTGATTCTGTTGGTTAAATCCCCCTCAGATGTCAACGTTTCCATTATAGTCCACTAGGAGCTTACATTACTGGTGTATTACACAGCTCTCACTACAAAAAGTTTGGTAAGATTGTAAACTCACTAAACTGCTCAGAATAATGCTCTCCTGCTCACCTTAACAAGTCCTCCAGTTTTTGGCACCAATTTAAGTGTGAGAAAGGATTCCCCAGTATAAAGAAACGAATGAGGTTTTGGTCTCAAAGACCTATTCAGAATTTAGAGACCTCTGGGTAAGATATGTCAAGGAGGCGGGTATGGTGTTTCCTTATTCTATTGTGTTAGTGACTACTCTTTGTAACCCATTTAAACCAGCTGTGCCACCAGAGCTGCATCGGTGGAAATATATGCAGGTGTGGGGGACTGCTTTTATCTGTAGGATAGGAATATTTCTCCACATCAAAGCGTGGGGAAATAAAAAGAGACTTTGAGCTATGAGAAAAAAGAAGCAAATAGATCATCACACACTGTAGATTGTGGCCACCTCAACTTCATCTGTTTCCAAACCATACTGTAAGGAAACTGGTGTGGGGCGCTGGCCCAGTGAAAATATAATGATCACCAGCAGGTGGGAATAACACAGGACAGGGCTGATAAACCATAGTTGAAGTTATCTTTTGTAGGTCATAGCAGATACTTAGGTTGCAAACAAGTGATGACTAGATTAAACAGAGCTGGATGGTCTGGGACTGATTTACCCTCTGAATAAATCTATTATTTTAACAACTGTCCTTAAACTGTTTAGGCAAGTGTTATGCTTTGGGTCATCAGAACACAAGGGCACTGACAGCAATTCAAGCAGAAGAAGACATCTCATGGATAAGACTTACTCATCAGCTTCATCCACCGGGAGCCCTTCCATCTCAAACCGGCAAGAGCAACCATAGTCTTCAAAATCCCTGGGACAAAAACCAGTAACACACTTCATTTTGTTCACAAAGTTGAGCAGGGCAGGGAAGTTAGTGAAGATGGACTGTAACCAGGTGAAGTGAGAACCCAGGCAGTCTGGAACGAGAACAGGCATAGGATGCATGGTAAATGGAGGTGAGCCAGGTGTGGGTCACACATGGGTGATGTTCATGTGAACGCAGAACCTAAACAGGGCAGTAACATAGGGATATTGAGCAATGCTTGACACTCAACAGTATTTAGTATTATAACAGTCTTCGGGGAAATCTACGGCCTCAAAAATCCATGTTCCTTTTCAGTGTACAGAAAAGCAAACTCCATGGGATTTCTATTCAGTGCTCAAGTACAAATGGAACACATACTTACCAAAAAATAATGCAACACTTTCCACATTTTGAAAGACTCCATTGAAGAATGTGGCATTGTCTAAATGAAAAAAATAAACAAACCACACTTCTTTTCAAAAAAGTAAATGACAAAAACTGTCCCCAGACTGCCCCCAGTCTTGCTTCAGTTGTTAAACCATTTTGAGATAAGAGTTACTCGGTATTTGCTAACAGTGCACTTCCCTGCAACACTTCTGAAGTACAAGTGATTCCCCACTACCATGCAATCTTGTAGAAAGTAAAGCTTAAACCATTCTTACTCAGTATTCTTTCAGGTGTGTCAAGAAGCTCTGGCAGGAATGCTGGTGGCTCCAATTCTTGGCCACCTACCTCAGCAAACAAATTTGAGAAGAAAAAGATTTAAAAATAAAAAAAAAAAAATCCAACAAACCAACAACATATACTTCATTATGATACATACACTGTGGGCATTTTGAGTATCTTCCTACACTAGCAAGCTGATTTATCAAAGCCATGAAAGATTTGCTCAGCTCCACCCACACCTAGGAAAGCCCAGAAGTGTACTGGTAAGTCACATTCACTTCAGCTTAAAAATCAGTCCTCTGTTAAATGGAGGTATTGCTAGTGAGGACGTGCTAACCCTTGTATTCCTGTGCTCTTCTGAACAGTAGCACTCACTGGGATAAATCAGTAGAACAGTATAAATTTGTTTTAGTTGCTCAACTACTTTCATTGTCCCAAATGTTTCTATTCCGTAACCCTGTGCTCTTCACTTATTTGAAGTCAAGAGGTTCGGTTTTTCTGAGTCCTTATTGCTTATTGCCTTATTTCCTCTCTTCCTCTCACTATTTCTTTCTTAAGTTAATTATCTCTTTTTCTTCCCGAAGATGCTGTAGTATATTTTCCACTCTTTTATTTTTTTTCTGTTTGCCATGGCCTGAATTAGAGAATTAAAGTGAAATCTAATACTTGTTCTATCCCTTTCCATTTTTTCCTTGTTCTTATCTTCTGCACGATTTTAGGAGAATGCGTTACTTTGAATTTATTTAAATTTGACTTTTTTTTTTTTTTAAAAAAAAAAGATAATAAATCAAGGGTATTTATTGGCTCAACATTCTAAAAACTGAAGAAAAAAAGTAATGTTAAATTCATGGCATAGTTATGTCTCAGAATAACTGGCATTAGGAAAGCTGTCCATTTTCTCTAAGAAAAATTTTGGGAAAGAGCTGACAGTTATGTTGCTAATCTGTTGCATTTTCCTGAAATAAATATAGGTGTAAGAGAGTAAAGCATAGTAGTGGAGTTTTAGATATAAGGCTTAACTCTATGTTTAGCAAAGGATCGGGAAAAATAGGACTTTTTTTTAGGTTTTTTTTTTAGATTGTGTATAACAGCCTTTCAGGATTTTCCAATTTTTTTTTTCCTCTTTTGTCGAATATATAAGATGTTCATGGTAACAGTCCTACACCTCCAGAAATTTGTTTCTCAAGTTTAGTGGCAGAAATGGATATGGGATTGAGGGAGGTAGGAAGAGGTGCTTCCCCTTACATTATTCTTTTCCTGAAAGTCTTGCTCACAACAATCCATCAGAAGTGCCCTTCATTACAGCAGGTGCAAGGGGAACAGACTGCTTTCCACAAACCAGAAAAGGTCTCCCAATAAAAGCTGGCCTTTTCACAGAACTGGAAGAAGTCTGTCGGAAGCTTCACAACCGTGAGGAATTCAAAGTCAAGCAAAATAATGGTGTACCTTGCAAAATAAATAGCATCGAGCACTGTATACTTTTACAAATGCTTGCTAAAGAAAAACTGTCCCTTATTTTGTGGCTTAAAGCCTGTGTTTCCTCTGCAATGACAAACTTCCTTCCCCCACACCCTGTTCTGTCAAGTGCATCTAGAGCCAGGCTTTGACACTCTGTATAACACTATGGCTCCAGCTCAGTGTCCATTGATGAATAGCCATTGATCATTCGGTCCTTTCAGCAAAATTTTGGAAAACATGAAAATCACATTGAGTAGAAATGAGGCAGCCATGTTACAGAACTGCTGGAAGTTGTGATTGCTCCAGCATCCTTCACTTGCACTTAGCTCTTCCCAGCAAACTTAATTTGCACACACCCAATTAACATATAAATGTTTGAAGCTCCCCTAGAGAAAAATGTCTACCACAGGGTCAGCAGCTTGGTAAAACTTTGGCTCTTCTAATCCTTTCATTACAAAGAATGATATTTCTAATTGTCACTAAGATCAATGAACCAATGCTTGCTGACAAGATTGCTTAATTTTGTTTAAATTATGGGGGGAGGGACAAAGAGAAAATACTTTCTGGATTAATTATTCTCTTCTTTTGCCATCATGTTTTTGGGGGCTATCAGTGGTCCTACATTGTTCCCTGTATAGTCAGTGAAAGACTGGACTACAAAAATCAATCCTTTACACCTCAGAAGGCCCTGGGGAGGTCACCATCTCCTCGACTTTCTCCAAAACATGCTAAACGACTTGGCACATGTCCTGGGCAGGCTTGTATGATAAGTCAGCTCTTGGGCTTTCCACTTGTATACCGTATCCACAGAATGTCTTTCAACATTTAGATACAGGTAAAAATGTTTCTGGTTTGTGTCTGTGGTGTTGCCACTCTGACAACACTTTTCTGAAGTCTTATCTGAAAAAGCACATCAAAAAAACACCGGTGCACCTCCAGCTGTTTTTTTGCAATCGTGGCAAGTTAAAATGTTATTATTCAGGGCATGGATGCAGTCATTATAATCCTTGGGGAGCAGAAACCTTGGCTGTGCCAGGAAAAGCCAGGGTGCCGCAAACCCAACCTATTTAATTTATTCAAGGTAAATCACATTAGCTCCTCACAAAGAGCCTAGTTCACGCACAGATACTTGCTTCAGTCTCGAAGCAGAGATCAGCCCAGTACATCCCACATAAATATACATCAATAATCTTCTCTGAATATAAAATGGTAACATTTTAGATCTTTGTGCTCAGATTCTGCTTAGCTGGGGGAAAAGAACCTAAAAACTGTGGCACAGCTTTCTGAGGTTTGGGGGGAAATGTCAGAAAAAGTTATGACTGTCCAGATATTTCGGAGTGCACTAGATATTATAAATATATATAGTCCCTTTTACATCTGGGGACTAAATACCCCTTTATTTTTTATGAATAAATGGTCTAGGTATTTTGGCATTGTTTTTCACTGCAGTGCAAAATGCTAATATTCTCACTGATTTCTGTTCACATAGTAGGAGTCTTAAGGTTCAGCTTCATCAATATATTTTAGCCCATGTGTTTTGTGTTAGACCTGTTTCTTCACCGGCTTCTAATGCACACAACCCCTTAGAAGAGAGGCAACTGGTGAAGTTGAAGTAGGGTAAGTGCAGAGTTTTGTCTATGCCAGGGTGCTGAGATTTCTTTTCCCTTTAGAAATAACCCCATGGAGTGACCAGAAATTGTGTTTGACCTTCTAAGAGTCCTTCTCTTCCCGTGCACACTGCTATTCCTAATGAAATTCCTACACAGTGCAGTGACTGCAGAAATTTGAAATGTTTACCCCTCCCAGTCGCTGGGAAGCTCCTTCACCCATGACAATAAAATCTAAAGAATTATATGAAGAAAAATAAACCCTATTCATAATAAAATTTGAAAGAGGAGCTTTAGCTGAATATGAGTTATATTTCAGAATGCACTAAATGGTTTGGAGAATGTAGAAAATACGCATTTGTTTAATGAGTAATTTCTCTTCATAAGTAACTTGTAAGTTTTTTGGAGTCTAAAGGACTTAAATCATGACCAAATGCCATCAGAGGGGAAGTTGCAATTATTTTTTTTTAATATATTTTTAAGCCTGCTAAATCTTTCTTGTTTCACTACAAGTCCTAAGAAAAATACATTTTATAAGTAGTCCATAGAGAAACTTATTTTAGTGCATTTAAGTGTTACACAACTAGGTTTGAGGGCAGAGAAGGTGTGATTCTAAAGGATTGTTTTGAAATGCATATACTTAAAATGGTATTTAGACATAAATGTCAAATAATCATAAAAATACATTGCCACTTACCATTGTACGGCACCATTGACATAGACATCAGTAGAATTACAATCATTTTTGTCTAATCCAAAGACAAGAAAAAGTCACACAGCAGACTGGCGTGTCTGGCGATTTACGTAAAAGATCAGGCAGAATGTTACCTCTTGAATCTGGGATTGGGAAGACATCAACTTAGAAAATCATTCTTTTGTAGCCATATTTCTGCTTGATGCAATTCAGTTTTTACCCTTATCATAGTCAATGTGCATATTACAGCAATGTTGAGCCTTATGTATCTTTCAAATTTTACCAATGTCCACTATAAACCTGACTAAGAATACTTATTTCAGTATTGCTTTAGGTGAGTCAACAGGCTCTGCCAAAGTGCCATAGACAGGGAAAATCCATTTAGCAATAAAATTGTGTACTTGAAGTTTCCTTTGTTTTGCAAAGAGTTTTCACATCTTACTTGATCTAACAAGATGTTTAAACAATTCTTCACATCATGTTTAAATGCAGTTATTGTGAAACACGGTGTAAATTCTGGAGTTACTTTTGTTGAACCATGTTAATCTGCAATCCATTATGTTAGTTTGCTTCACATCACAAAAGTCGCTCCCACTTTGTAGTCAAACATTTGCTCTATGTGGAGACTAATGTAATGTATCGTATATTTTCCTGATGCTAAACTCTATGTTGTTTGCATCTTCAAGCTCTGGGTGTGTTTTTCCTTAGAGAAATGTGGGTAAAGAACTATTCTGAAGCTAAAAGCCTTGCACTAGTATACATTAAATGACAGATGATAGGTTGGTTTTGAAATACAGTCACAATTTACCCTAAAGTTAGAACAATTTTCTAAGAAAATCAGGCATGGAGTTTTTTAGAGCCAAATAAATGAACATTTACTTATCAGTTTTCAAATATGTATCTACTGTTGATTATCTACTCCCCTGAGGTCAAATATTGTATTCATTTCTATTTAAAAATTTTGTAATATTTCATCAATAAGTGAGTTTATAAACCTAACAGCTCTAAATATTTATAGTCTAGTACCCCAAATCTCTTACCTACACGTTAGTCTACAACTCCACAGTCCCAAATAGCTTATTCTACATTGTTATCTTCTGATTCCTGTATTACAAAGTACATCTAGAAAGCCTTACCTTGAAGGATATTATTCAAAAGCAGTTGGATGGAGGACAAATGGATTTCGACAAAGTCAGTACTAAGTTATTTATACCCACTTGGATATATACCTCACCCATGTGATCACTTCCATTATCAAACCCACTTCAACATTTATTAATTAATTCTTCCATGAGATTCCTTAGAGTCATTATGCCCACAGTGTATCTTAGTAATATAGCTCCAGCCATGTAAAGGATCTATACTCAGAAGTCTGTTCTGCAGGTGCACTCACAGTATAGTAACTTTTCCCTAATACTTCTGGATGTAATTAAATAACAATCATCTCATTGTTATTAATCACTCACAAAATCTCTGGGGCATGTGAATATGCCTTTAATAGCTTAGCAAGAGGTAGTGTTCGGTGTTGAAAGATGAGTGAAAATTTATACAGCTTTAAACACTGGCATTCCTCAGGGTTGAGAAGTCTGCTCTTGTCTATCCACGGTGGCTCTGATCCAAAGCTGAGTGAAATCCAGGGGAAGGTTGAGTCAATGCACTTTGGGAAGGCTTCTCCTCATTGGGAAGGTGTGCTTTCTGCTAGGGCCAGACACAGCTACCCTTCAAAGATGCCATCCACAAAGGCAAACTGTCCACTGAGTTTTAGCATGAAGAAGTGAGGAGTCTGACAAATTGAGAATTGTAAAAATACTTGTGAACAAAAGGCTTGGCTCCTCCGAGTCCCTGTGAACTACATCCTCTTCACAAAAGCCTTTGACACTGTCTCCTAGAAGATCCTCGTAGAGAAGCTGTTGATACTTGGGCTGGATGAGCCCAGTGAGGTGCATTGAAAACTAGCTGGGCCCAGAGGGTGGTGGTCAGAGACACAGAGTCTACTTGGAGGCCAGTGCCTGGTGGTGTATGCCAGCGGTCAATACTGGCTCCAGTCTTGCTTACATCTTCAGTAATGATCTGGATGCTGGGGCAGAGTGTGCCCTCAGCAAGGCTGCAGGTGACACTGAGCTGGGAGGACTGGCTGATATGTCAGAAGGCCATGCTGCCATCCAGAGGGACCTTGACAGGTTGGAGAAATGGGCCAACAGGAACTTCATGAAGCTCAACAAGAAATGCAAAGTCCGGCACCTGGGGAGGTACAATGCCATGCACCACCATGTGCTGGGGGCCACCCATCTGGAAAGCAGCTTGGCAGAAAAGGACCTGGGGTCCTTATGGACACCAAGTTGAACTTAAGTAAGCAGTGTACTCTTGCAGCAAAGAAAGCTAAGGGTATCCTCAGCTGCATTAGGCAAAGTATTGCCAGCAGATTGAGAGAGTGGATGGATCCTTCCCCTCTACTCAGCACTGGTGAGGCCACACCTGGAGCACTGTGTCCAGTTTTGGGCTCCTCAGTATGAGACAGACATGAACAAACTTGAGACAGTCCAAAGAAGTGCCACAAAGATAATTAAGGGACTGGAGCATCTCTCATGAGGAGGGGCTGAGAGAGCTGGGACTCTTCAACCTATAGAAGGCTCAGAGGGATCTCATCAATGCCTATAAATACCTGAAGGGATGGTGCAAAGAGGACAGAGCCAGAGTCTTTTCACTGGTGCCCAGTGACATTACAAGAGGCAGAGGGCACAAACTGAAATATGGGAGGTTCCCTCTGAACATCAGGAAACACTTTTTTACTATGAGGGTGACTGAGCACTAGCACAGGTTACCCAGAGAGCTTGTGGAGTCTCCCTCCCACTCTCCTCCTCTGGAGATATTCCAAAGCCATCTGGACATGGTCCTGGGTAAGTGGCTCTAGGTGACCCTACTTGGGCTGGGGTTGTGTACCAGATGGCCTCCTGAGGTCCCTTTCAGCCTCAACTCTTCTGTGATTCTGTATGGATTCAGTACTGACATGTTGCCAAGAAAAGGACAGGGTCCCGTCATACCATTTCTGTGACCGGTCCTATCATGAAACTTTACAGAAGAGTGAAACGTGGCAGAAATTATGTCTTAATGGTATGAAAATTTATTTTCGTCTGAGTTTTGGTGCTTCCAGTTGGAGTCTCCAGGGATTGCCCAAAGTCTGTTTTTACTGGCTTGATGAATATTTTCAGCCTGACAAATCAGAGTGTGCTTTACTGGGAATAATAATAAACAGTGAGTCCTCTGAGTTATTGATCTGCCCATATGCCACCATCATTTCTGTACTTCTGCCAAACATGTACAGAGGCTTTGCAGGACTGAAAACCCTGGAATATGCAAAAACTTCTGTTTTTTTGAGGGCAACCAATGTGTTCACTTTTTTCATGGAACTTTGCTTTTTCATTCCTTCTTTTATTTTGTATTTTTTCTCATTAATTTTCAATATTCTCCTGGGAAAGCCAAACAGTAAGTCTTAAACAACTGACAAGAAGATTGCAATTCAGGACAGGTACCATTAATCTTTTTTCAGCTTCTTTCACAAGACACCCGTAACTGTGTGATACTTTCTAATTCTCTCCCCGTGAACACGCTTGGGCAGTAGGTCTCAACTCTTTTGAGGACTTTAGAGTGGAGATGGCTGTGACCTACCCCCAGTGCCAGACACGGCTCAGGCACACCATATCGTAGTATAGAGAGGTTACCCTCTGTTCAAGGACCTGTATTCCTGCAGGAAAAACACAGCATGATTTCCTATAAAAACGAAAGTGCCCTTTAGCATGGAGGTCAGTGCTACAACTCAGAGATGATTAAATTCATTAAAAAAATAATGAAACGATCTTCTAAAAAGGAAGCCTTTTCCAAAAATATTTTTCTTTTGCTATTTTGTTTTTATTCAAACCTAAAAAAACCCAGAAAGTCCAACTGACTTTAATCATTGTTTTCTCCCCTTATGTCCTTGTTTTCACATCCTTCTTCCTGAGTTCTCAGAAAACTTAATGATAAAAATGTAAGAAACAATATGTTTGTTGTTTTTTTTTTAAATTGTGTCTTCAGGTTTTAAGGTGTTTTTGTGAGATTTAAAAGCAATAGTTGCACAAAGGTGCAATTCACTCATCTCTTCACAGCAGAACTGATCCTGCCTTGGGTGAGGAGACATGTCACAGAGCAAGATCTCTCCACAGCATTCCAGTACCATGGCCATGTTAATATTCCCAATCTATACTTTCATTATATCGACATTCCTATTTCTTCCACTGGCCTAATTTTCAATGTCAACTGTAATTAGCAATACTCCAATCTGTCCTGCTCTTTGATATGACAAAATCGCTTCTGTCATGCTACGGGGCACGCCAGTGAAATGTATTTTGGAAGAGGGCTGCTGCATCCTACCTCTCCCCATGGGCATCATTCCTTATGATGTCACCCTTCTCTTTGGCTTTATATTATTCTGAATGCATAATTCTTCAGTGAAACATCAATGTGCACCAGCTGCAGTGCAAATATCTTTTTTTTTTTTTAAATATTAAAGGTTTGATGATGTACTTTGGGTTGATAGTAGCATTATATAGAATTGTAGAATCGTAGAATAGTTTGGGTTGGAAGGAACCTTCTTGTCTTCAGTATTTCAGCTTGCTTTTAAATTATTTTGTATTTTTTCATTTTGATTACTTTATCTTAATTGTAAATAAAACTAGAATAAACTATTTGCTTTCACTAGTCAACCATATAAATATTCTCTATAAAATACAATTTTTAAAAGTCTTTCAATGCTTTTATTACAGTTACATCAGTTACATCATTTGTATAAAATACATCTGTTTTTATATATTATTTTTACAATGCCTTGGAGGGAGACACATTTCTAGGTTAACACTTGGTTAATAGCTTGTCTTGTTGCAAATATTTGCAAATAACCTGTTACATCCTGATTTTTACACTGAGAAATGAGAGACAACTAAAACTGCCACCAATCTTCCAATTTGTAGAAAAATTCCTCAGTGCTCTAGACTGATGTACAGATGTTTTTAAGACATTTTTGTTTTAACGCTGGAAAAACACAAGAAAACTGCTGTCAGAAGAGGTTTTACAAGGAAAATATGAAAAACATACATGAAGGTTAAATAATCTTTTTTTTTTTTTAATACCTTAAAAAATTGTTATCAGATAAAATAACCATGTGATGAAAGACAGCAAATACTCTGTGGATATCTAAAATTTTTTTTATACCTTCATAATAAGGCATGTAGAGATATAAAGAGAAATATACTTACTGTGGGAGTAAGCAACTCTTTTGACTCTTTCACAGACATAACTTGCGTTTTTCAAGAACCAGGAATAGTATTCAACACAGTACCTAAAGATGTAGTTAAAGTTAAGAGGGTGGTAGCTTACCATCTTTCATAAACACAGCTGTATGCATACCATACTGCTAATAACACATATGGAAATAAAAAGATAGATTCTGACCTCAATGATGTCATCCGATATTTGAAAAAGATCAGCTGAGCTTTATTCATCTAGTTTGAATACTGGAAGCCAGATCAGATATTGATCAGTGCACTGGGGACCCATTTGGGTCTCAGTCAGTAGCCACAGATTCTCAAAAATAAACATTGGTGATTGAAAAATGTCATTTTAAAAAAGCCCAGCGGAGTATTTTAAGCTGAGAGAGAGAAACTAGCGCCAGGTTTTACCTCATCGCTTCCTTTCTGGAATATCTTCTCTGCCCAACACAGAGGCACAGCTGAAAAAACCTACAGAGCTCCATCACACAGGGATTGATCTTTTGCACTATAAGAGTGACAGGAGGCGAGGTCACACGGGACTCCTTGAGGATCGCCTGTGGACACCCTAGGAAAAAATACAACTTTGGACTAGTTCAAATACTTGTCTCATTAAATTTCTTACAATGCCTTATCTAGGCTATGAGAAACACGCAGCTTAATAAACTCACATGGGTATCTTAAAATCAAATCTGAGTGAGGTAGATAATTGAAAAGAAAACAACACACAGCCTGGAAGTTGCTTGACTGAAAGCACAGATGTCCTGTTCTATTTATTATTGTTTATCACTACTGGTTACCTACTTAAAACCACATTGCTTTTATTTGTCACAAATGTAAGGAACAACTCTAAAGATGCAATTCATTTATAGTTACTTGTATAGGTGGTGGTTTAGTTGCCACTGAAGCATCAGTTTTGCACAGTACAACACAGCAAGACAAAGAACAGCGCTGAACACTTATTATATTTGATATTTGCTATGTGCATATGCTACTTTAATGAAAAATTCACTTCCAGTTCTGCATGCTTTCCTACACCCACCCTCTAAATCTGAATCCTAGATTAATATGATTGAGCTAATAAACAAACAGACTCTCACTGCTCTCTCCATCACTTTTTCTAGCCTCATTAACAAAATAAACATGATTTATGCAGAGGTTATGACTTTTTCTCTGTCCATGTCTCCATCTGTCAGTTTTCCCCTTCTTGCTTGTAGTGACTTGAATAATCAGCTAGTTTTAGCACAGTTTTTAGGGATGGGTAACGATCCTCTGGATAAATACATTCCTACAGGTTTTGTGAAAACTGACATGTAACTGAAGGAGAAAAGGTCAATTTTTGCCTGCACTGAGATGAAAGTAGGAATAATTTCTCCATTTAATTATTTGTTTGCCAGGAGTCGGTTGGTTAACCAGTGTTTTTTCAAGTGACCACCATTATATTATTTTAACTGAAGAAAAATGCAGTGAAACGGTATACCTGGGGATGGACTCCCACTTCCCCTCTCTTAAGTAAGCTAAAAGGAAAATATCTATTTTACTCTATTCATTGAATCTTCTGCAGTCAGCAGCAAGAGATAAACATTTGCACACCAAACATTTCATCCTGCCAGCAAATGCAGCTGTGCCAGACTGCAGAAAAAGCAATACTACAGAATAGGTGATGGCAGCTTATAATAAAATCCTGAATTGCTATGTGTTTTTTCGGTGTCAAATACAATCTCTCTTCAGACTACCTTTCTGTTTTAGAAAAGAGAAAAGAAGGCAAAGTGAAAATGGGGAGAACTGAGAAAAGGTAAGGCAAAATTGAAGCTGTTTTCAGTTTTTCAGGGCTTTTCTTCATTATATTAAGAGAAAATCCTAGCACTTGCCGTAGTCTTGTCTTCTCCAAACCATCATCTGTCACATGTCACCTTGCACCCTAGCTAACAGTTTTTCTACGATGGGTCAGAATCAAAGGACTTGCTAGGAAAAAAAAAAAAAAAAAAAAAGCAATATTTACAATAAACTAAAAGGCTTCCCAGGCATTGCTAAAATAGATGTGTAATCACCTCTCTTTTGCATATTTGATAACCGTGCTTTGAAGACGAGATGCTGCGTGTGAGGGAACACTTTAGGTGCCTGCAGTGAAGCCACCTGCCCTACAAGGCATCGCATCTGATCCTGGGGAGCTGCATGGACACACATCACGTTGTCCCCAGCATACAGCAATCCTTCCAAAGGGATGTCTCCCCTACACCAGCATTCCGAAAAATAAAGGACAACCCTGCAAACGCCACACTGGGTCTCTGAAATGATAACCAAGGACCAGGGGGTGAGCGGGCACATTTTGCATGATGTGGGTGTCCCCCTCACATGCACCCATTGGGGTGGAAGAGCCTGAACGTGCAGAGCGAAGGCGGCTGCAGTGTGATTCTCAACCGGTTTTTCCATTTCTGTAACTCGCAGCAGGCTTTGGCCATCCGTAGATAAACCACCTTACCTGCAGAGGATAATCTCCTTAGACAGTGTAATTGCATTTCCAGGTTCACGTCTCACATGCTTTATAGCTTTGGGCCAGCTTATGTTATGCGATAGGAGAGGTTATGGAGGTTAAATTTGGACTAATGAAGTTCTGTTGAAATAAGCTTGAGTCATCTAGTGCTGACAAGAACTTTAATATAAAATGGCATTCATGGGCAGGAGGAAAATAAAGGCTCTGCCAACCTGAAAGAGATCGCTATGAAACTATTTCTCTTCTGCTAGCACTTGCCCAAGGTAGCAGGAGTCATGGAGGAGTAACGGGCAGACACTTGCAGCTCCCAAACTCACGGGCCCCTCTGAAAACCAGTTGTGTGTCAAAGGCGCTACACAAATATCAGACGTAATTATTCAGTGATCGGCAAGAGGGAGACCCATTCCTCTTTATCTTAGCAGCTTTGCATAAATGTCATTAGGCTTTGTTCACTTAATAGGATTTGACGCACCTTGCTTTTTTTTGCACTCAATGGTAAATAAAAATTAATGATTTCTTACTTTAATAAACACTCTTCATGTTAATAACCACACATCAGAGCATAAGACTATGAGGTTTTAGTATAAGTTGTCCATGAAAAGGGATGTTAGAGTTGTTGCGAATAATTAAAACTTGCTAAAGGCCACCGTCCAACAAATCTCCAAGTCTTCACCAAAGTGGGTACGTGCTGTCCTGCCGAACAGGTGTTAAATGCTCTTCTCAAGCTGTGTGTTTTGTGAGCAGAAATTAATCTTTATCTAAATGTAAATTGAATGACTGCAATTTCAATTTGGATTCATCTATGTGGGAAAGGGAAGTCAAATAAAAAAGCTGAAAGTTAAACAGATTGCCTTGGTTTTCATTTTTGACAATCACTTTATTTTAAATAGATGTTGTATTTGCATAATACTGTATTTATTTAATGATGAAATTCTCTTTCAATTAGTGTTGCATTTACTTTTATTTGGATTGGATAGTATACCCACATCATATTGTGGAAATTAAAATTTTCAGTGCTTCACAGTAATGTTTTATATCTCTTCTGTAATAAATTTATACTGTTAAATGTATTTTTTGTATCCGCTTCATAAGAGCCTACAGTTTTGCACTGAAATTAAAAATAGATTTAAAAGTAGGGATTTATTTGAGAACTTTCTTTTCTAAGAATTTTCTTTTCTAAGAAATCGAGTCAGTCAAAAGAGGCCAGAAAACGCAGGAACCACAGCTCCCTGTGCAGAGCTTTGCTCTTGCATATTTGAAATTACCACGTTACTGTCACAGGCAAATCAGTGACCAATTCTTGCTGCAGTAGGCAGCCCTTTCCATTATTAACTCAATATCACATCTCTGTGACACTGAGATTAAATTTTCCTGCCAGTGAAAAGCAATCTTCTGGCTACTGTGAATAATTCAGATTTACAATATCCCTCCCTGCATGCTCTAATATGCACACTTGCATATTTTATCAGCTGGCATCCACTTTTGTGATTTAAGAAATGACTTCTTGGAATAACATCTCAGTCTTCAGAGTATTGTGGATGCTCTTCATTGCTTTGCGATCCCATGGTTCGATTTATTTCCCCAAATGCATGACTGATACGTGCAGGTACATAACCTCTGTCATCATGGTTTCTGACAGAGAGAGGCATTTATTGACTCTCCATTCCCTGATCTCACTGAAATCCATGTTTCCCAGGCTTTTCAAAATGGGCTGGTTCCCATTCCTAGGTTCTCCAGTATCTATAGTGTTGGCCACTATATCTTCAAGTTAAACTCACCCCAAGCAAAGAAGACATGCTGAGAACTTCAGTTTTGTGCAGAATTTTTGATGGATGAGAATTACCATAGCATATTCCTCTGCTCCCAATCAGGATGAGAAGACCTAGTTCATCTTAAATTCTTCTCTTCACACCATCAAGAGTGCCAAGAAGCCAAATTATATTTATGTGATATGACATTGGCTCATTTTCTTCATGCAACCAATGGCAGGGGGTAAGATGAGGACTCTGGAATACTACGTCCAGCTCTGCAGCCCTCAGCACAAGAAGGGCATGGACCTGTTGGAGCGAGGCCAGAGAAGGGCCACAAAAATGATCAGATGGATGGAGCACCTCTCCTATGAAGACAGGTCGAGAGAGTTGCAGTTGTTCAGCCTGGAGAAGACTCCATGGAGACCTTATAGCGGCCTTCCAGTATCTGAAGGATGCTTACAAGAAGCCAGGAGAGGGACTTTTTACAAGGGCATGTAGAGATAGGATGAGGGGGAATGGCTTCAAACTGGAAGAGGGTAGATTTAGAATAGATATGAGGACGAAAGCTTTCACTGTGAGGGTGGTGAGGCACTGGAACAGGTTGCCCAGGGAAATTGTGGAGGCCCCATCCCTGGAAGTGTTCAAGGCCAGGTTGGATGGGACTTTGAGCAACCTGGTCTAGTGGAAGGTGTCTCTGCCCATGGCAGGGAACAAGATGATCTTCAAGATCCCTTCCAACCTAAACCATCCTATGATTCTATGATCTTGAGCTCTTTTAACAGAAATAAAATGAGAGAAAGATCATAAAAGGATGTTTGATTTCCTATCTCCATGGTTGGAAAATCATCTTACATGAAGAACTGCTCCTTGGCTCAGCACCAGTGAGTCTTCTCCTTGGAAACATATCTCAGTAGATAGTTTTTCTCCTGTAGTGTTCTCAACCCTCCCAGGCAATAGCTTCCTCCCTCTCCTCCCTGCTACTGCCTTTCTGCGGGACTTGTGTTTGTATCATCACTTGGTGCTGCTGTCAAGCTTTGGTTTTTGTAGTCAGCATTTTTAACCTGATAACATTATTTACTTCTGAAAACAGATGCCCCATTGAGTTGTATGCTCTCAAATGCTTTCTTTTCTAATAGTATGAGTTTAAAAAAAAAAAAAAAAAAAGAAGGCAAACAAGCCAACACATGCTGATAAACTCATCCAACGAGAACAGGACTGGAAACTGCAAAAAACCTGATCAGAATCAGCAAAAGCTACAAAAAGTAACAGCACAGGATTCTGGTCTTGGATTGCTGCAGTAGGCAACAATGTCAAAACCAAGGGAAAAAGCAAGTGACACCAAAACTGTAAGATACTACAGTTCACCTACTGTTCAATATTCTCCTACTTTGTCATTATTCCCAGTGACAGAAAAATTGAAGATTTGTGAAAGAACCTTTCTCTCTGACTCAAATATGTTTACCCCCCCCCCAAAAAAAAAAACCAACCAAAACCCAAACAAACCCCAAACCCTTTACAGACAAGTAAAGTCGTGTTGGAATTCAGTAATAAGCTAAGAGAAGTCAGTGTTCAAAATATCATTAGAAATGCTGGGATTAGGGAATCCAGGCCAGAATTTGGATTTCAAGATTCCAAGTAATCCCAAAATGAAGATGTGAGGTTGCCTGTATGGAGCCAGGGAGCTGGCTGCATCCCCGATGCTCTGGGTCAGCTCCACTAGCAGAGAAGGACCCCAAGGCTGCTGTTTCCCTTCATGCAAAAACCTGATGGTGATGCTCAGTTTTTCACTTTGCCTCTCCTGTTTTGACATCCAAAATATCTGCAGCAGTTTTCTCTTTAGTTATATTTATTAGGAATCCATATCAAAGACCCACGGTTTCCTTTGATAATATCAGAATGGTGCATTTTCCTACTAATCCATCACAAACCATATAATCAACACTTCTCTTTGCTCTCCTTGCCTACCATCCTTCAGAATTTGCAGGCCTTTATTTGCTCATATTATCAACACTTTTTTTTGTTGTTTTATTTCCCAGATGTCAGAACAGACCTTTGAAAGTAATATTTTACTGGCATTTTAGTTCTTTGGACTTCTGTGGTTTTATCTATAATATCAAGTCCAAATGATACTGAAGACCCCTGCAATGTAGTCTGATATATTATCTTTACACTACCCAGTGTCTATGCTTCTCTTAGACAGCTGCCACACAGAAACACAAGCAGCTGATAGACAGATTTCCAAAATCCCCTCCTCGCCACCGAGCAAGATCTGTGTTCCCACTCCTCTGTGGTAGCAGCAGAGTCAACTTCAACTGTGGGACTAGGGACAGCCGCTTCACAGAGCCTCCCATGAGCTCATAGCTCCCGCACAGCTCTAAGCAGTCAAACTGGCAGGACACAGTCCTAACTCCAGGGAACCTTGGAATTGAACCACCTACTTATTCTGGAAAAGTGGTGACCATATTTTTTTTCCTTTCTAGTCTTGAGGTGAGCACAGGCATTGCCCCAGGTTCATGCACTACAGGGGTTTCCACACCGACCTCTGTGGTAGCTGCCAAATTTCTCTTCTCTCCCTAAAAAGATTATGCTGTACTGAACAGCAAATAATCACAATCAGAGTCTGGACTACAGGCACGTAGATTTTGCCTGGATCCCAGAACAGGAAGTCTGGATTTTCTTTCCAAATACAACAGCACTATGAAACCATAACAATACTGATGTGTTTTCTGTGCTGGAACATATACACCAATGTATCCCTCAAATTTACTTCCTTAACTACCAGGTTAACAAGAAGCATATAAGCAGGAACTGTGTCATACATGCAACTTCAGCTGTACCTTGCTGCTGACACCAGACTGGGAGTGGAAGGACCCCCAGGGGACTAAAGCTGTCTGCAGGAATGGGGGTGTGTTCTACTCAATTTTAGGTGTCCATGATGCTGGTACCTAGAGTTGAACTAGTCATCTTCACTCCCCAAGACTGGTATTTGCAGCTGAGATTTATTCCTGTGGTACTCCTGAGCTCTGCTCCTACTTTGCCAATCTGGGAGAAGGCAGCCTGGATTCAGACACACACATGCTCAGCATCCAAAGCAGGAGCTGGACTGTCCCAGACTTCAGACTCCCATCCTGGCATTGAATCAGGTCCAGTTTTTCAAAGCATATAACCTTTTACTAAATACTTAGACTTAAATATAATTTTATTGCAAACATGAGTATATAGTACTTATAAGTGGAGTGACACATCATCATATATTTACCATGCTGAGCTCTTAAATTCTAACTGTTTGGTGTTTAAAAGGAGGAATGCAGCTTTCCTAAAAATCCAGTTGATAATTGTCCTTCTTTAGCTGAAGAAGTAGTTTGCAGTATTGTAAATTCAGGGCAATACTGTAGATTTCATGTGGCATGGATTGACTTAGTAATTTTATTTGTACTGACAGGAAGATTTAAAGCATGACACTTTCTTTTAGAGTAAATGAACTTTAAGTTTCTCCAATAGCTAATCCATGTTCAAATTAACACATGGAGTATGTATGTTAATTTTGTCACCACAGTACAATTTATATTTTGAATGTGATTGTGTATGATTCACAAAAAAACAAACACGGAAGCAGTCCCTTATACATTTTGTGTGTTTTATATACCTAAGAGGTCACATAAATTAAACATGTGTGTTGTTTCTGCATGGGAAAATTTGCAAACTGATATACTTTCAAACATACTATACTTTTGCTGCATGAGGTGCAGCTACTTACTGGTAGCTGAGTAAAGTTTCAGTGTCACACCAGGCCTGTGGGGTGGCGTAGGCAGTACTGAGGGAGGCAAATCTGAAGATGGGAAAAGAATGTAAATTGCCTTGACATCTTAACAGGAAAAAAAATAAAGGAAGGTTGATTGAAAGAATAACAGGAAAAAAAAAGCTGAAGTCATGGACTACTAATAGACACATACAAAGACATTGATGTATAAACACATTCACAGTTGCCTATTTCTATATATATTACTTTTCATTTCACAAATGTGCCAACTGACACATTTTGTTATTATCCCAGATCAATCTCACCTGGTTCTGTTTGCATCAGTTTGCTGGTTTCTTGAGGAGACACCGTCTGCATCCAAAATGCGTACATGTCAGCTATGGGAACAGAAAGACACATGCTTCGTGTCATTCAGGATATCTGTCTGCTGGGAACTGCTACACATGAGACAGCTCAACAGGCGGAGTCCCTCACCCAGTACTTCCAGTGGCATATAAAAATGTCAAGATGAAAAAGGAAGGACAAAAGCTATACTTTGCTAGATCTTGAAAAGTCCCTGGGCTAGGGAAAGGTAGGACATAAAGAAGGTACGTTTAGCGGAGACCAAGAGAACCAGCTCTATGTTTCTTTTTCATGAGCCTGCTCACTGTATTTGGGGCAAAATGTGCGTGAGGACCTAGGTGGCAGAGGTGACTGTGAGGAGCAAGGCTTAGTTTTCCCCCAAAGATGGACCCTATAAATGACTTAAGCACTTCTACAATAATAACACCTACTCACTAGTGACCTAGAGCGGGTCTCCCTGAAGGGCCTCCCAACCTCAACCTCAGACATGGGGTTTCAGCTTTTGGCTAGCAGGGTAAAGCGGGTGTCAGTCCTCCGTGCCGAACTTACTGGGGCTGGGCTGCAGGGCTGGCGATGGGGCCGAGCTCCCCCCAGCAGACGGAGGGGGTCCGGCCGTGCCTCGTGGTCTGGAAGCATCCACGTGCAGTGATGGAAACCCCGATCCTTTCAGTCCAACCGTCTTTGGCCATGGTGGGAACCTCGTGGTGGGGATTTCCTCCCCTTTCAGGGCCAGAGGGATCCTGGTAGCTGGAGAAGCAGAAGAGACGGAGACAGAGGGAGCAATGCGCTGTGGATGCTGGTGCCCCACAGCAGCAGCGAATGTAATGCACTGGAGGACAATAATATCTAAAATACCCACAGAAAATTCCATCTACTCCTTGAGTGCTTCCCCTGGCAGGTGAGCAGCCAACTCTCCATTACATTTTAAATCTTGAAACTTGGGAAGTGCCAATAATATTTGAAATTTTAACTGAGAACTTTTTAACATGCAAGTTTTCATAAACAAAAAAAAGAAGCTGAAATATTCCTGCAAAGTGCTGTGTTGTTTTTTTTTTCTTCAGATAAACTATTTTTTATTTCCTAAACTGCTTCACTACAGAGGAAAGAGACAAAAGCTTTTGTCTATGTGAAGGGGAGCAGGCAGGTAGTGGAGGGCAGATACTGGAATTTGAGAACTGATGACATTTTGTGGCAGGAGTGATACTCAGGGCTGGAAGAGATAACAAAGCTTGGTATGCGGCTGAGCAAAATAAAAGAGCTTACAAAACGACAGCAGACTGACTAGGGAAAATGTAGAAATTTTGTTGTAGACAGATGCAGCTGCAGTGATGAGGAAGTATGAAGTAAAATTCTGAATTTCTCTTTGCTCTTACTATGTGGAAGCAAGTGTGAAGATTTGTTTTGCTGCTTTCAAAATGAGGCAGACCAGCACTTTTTGGTCTTGTAGCCTTGTGGCAAAGCTAAATGCACTGCAGCTCATGAAATGTTCAGGTACTCACAACTGAATGTTATATAAAGTCAAAGATAGAGAAAAAAATGAAAAATGTACAATAGGAGAGGAGAGGAAACAGTTTAAACTATCTTTTTCTTGGTTTAAAAGCAACAATTTTTTTTTTTTTTACTTTTCTGCCTCATTAGAAAATTTATTTTTCTAAAAATAGGGGGAAAAAAAAAGGTCTTTTTACAATAGGTCTTCTATTCCCCAGGTAGTCAGTGCATTACTGACCTGAACTGCTGTTTAGGGCAAAATTCTATCTTACTCTGTAACTGTAGTACAACATCACAGTGCTGTGCAGGAAGCATATGTGATCACTTATCCAGATATTAACCAAGAAGAATATAGATTCAGGTCTGACAATACTTGCTCACTTTTAAACGTCCACACATGTTCTGCTGATGGATCCACTGTTTTGTTTGGGTCTTCCTGTAATTTCATGAAACTTGAAAAAATTGAATCTAGATCTTTGAGGTATGAGAAGATAAGGTTAGTATGCTCACCATCCATCACGTATTGTCTGATAAAAAGGAAATAAATCAGGTTCTGGTATAAAAGAAATAGCTCTTGTCTTTTTAAATGAAAGTCATTTTTGGCAAAGTGTTTTTGACTCTTATTTTTTTTAAAGGAACTGAAATATGCTACAGCTTTCAGCACAGGTGAAGTTGCCACTGATTTCACCCTCTGCCTTTTTTAATCAAGCACTGAAAAGGAGAAATAGTCATGGGCAGCAATGAGATGTGAGCATGTGAAGTGCAGCTCAAGCTGGCAAAGCAGTTTTGGGTGGAGGAGCCATGCAGCACACAGGCTGAGCATATTCAACTCCTTTCTGAAGGTAACTCACATAAAGGTAGGCGACAATTTGTGCTGAGAGTTAAGGGAGGTACCCGTTTAGATTAGGAGCATCAGGAAGCCTCCTCAGTCCAGTGCTGAATTCTGTAAAAGCTTTCATCCCAGGAGGTCTTGTTCGTTCCTCTACTAGGAGACCTTGTAGCTAATAATTTTAAAGTTTGTAAATTTTACTTGTAGTTAGCATAGAAATATTATTTTATACTTACAATAATTTCAAATACTAGTCTATTTAATAATAATATATAATAATGTATAAATATACACAAATAATAATAAAAATATATAAATTTTTTTTTCCCAAAAATTTACTTCATGAAGGTGGAGTATTCATTGCAAGTGCTACCTGCATGTGGTTTGTGTTGTTGTTGCTCTTTCCTTTTATTCCCCAAGATGTACTTACCCAGGTCAGAAGATGCGTTACTGGAAAATGTATAATTAATAACAGGAGACTTCTCCAGCATTTCCCAAAAGTCAGACAGATTTCTCCCTGAAAACAGAAATGCTTACAAATATCAAGAAAGGTTTGTTTCTAGTTTAAGTCACCACTGAGAATAAATAGGGCTATATTTTGGGGCAGACTGGTTTGAACATTTACCTGTCTGCCCTGTCATCACACAGATGTAGATACAATCTGAATCATTGCTCTGACGCACTGAAAGGCAAAAAAAATGTAAACCAGATCATTGTTACCAGTTTTCATTATACGATACTATCTTAAACAGTTGAAAACATGAACACAAACTGGTATGCGGTTACTACAACTGTCCAAACATTTTCTTTTTGATCTGATTTTTGACAAAAACCTCGAACCAGCACAAAATCCAAATGTTAATATTTCCAGGGGAAATGTTTCTATCTAGTTAAAATTCTAAATTACAGGCATTTTCACATAGACAAAAAAAATTCTTCAGATAATATAGAACATAATATTCTTTGGCAATCATAATTCTTCAAAATACCATTATTTAATAATAATTCACCAAACTTTAAAACAGAACATACCTGCTCATAGGAACATGTGTGTCTACGTATTATATATATACACACATTATATATGTGTCTTGTTGCTCTAAGGAGAATTTGTGTACAACTGCAGTCCATACTTTGCAAGAAAAATGCTGCTGACTAAGAGCAATAGGCTTTTATACTCATTTCTATGCTTGTTTCCATGCCAGGCGTAAATCAGACAAATCAGACAATGGTAAATGTCAAAAGGAAATGCAAACCTGAGAGAATAGAAGTGGATTTGAAAATTTCTGTGAGATAACTGGTGGAGTTTCCAATAATATCAACAAGTAAAGCTGTAAAATCTAGACAACAAAATAGAGACAGTTTATGATTGAAAATACATATTGTATCATCTATGCTAAATCAAAAAATCCCTTTTATATGTGATCACATTTTGGATATATGCTCGTGGATCACAATTTTTAAAATACTTTAAAGTGCAAAATGTTTCTGAGAATGGAAGTAGACTTAGGAAGCCACTGGAAAACTCTGCAGAAGTATATTTCAAAGGTTATATCCAAAAGAGCACCAATGTGACTAAAAGTAAACTTAAATGGAATTTACCTCTTCAAGAGAACAACTAAAAGTAACATTCTGCTTAGTCTGCTTAAATGTAGAAAGAGAACTAAAGCTTGTAGGCTTTGCCTGTACTAACTGCCTATCTACCATGGTTCCCAGGAGGCATCTGATGGTCTCCTTCGAGGTCTACTTCAGACATACCGATGGTGACGTGGTCAGCCCAAAAAATGGCTAGTGGTGGTGGTGATAGTACAACTTTTTCACAAGAGGTTCTAGCAGTAACAAGTCAATGTTCTCACTTAGGGAGTGACAGACATGAGCCCTGTGTTGGGCCCTCAATTTTTACTGTTTGGGAGGATACTCTAACCACCAAGATATTCTGGATTTGGGACAGAAAGATTAAAGTTTCTCCATTGTTCTCCAAGGCAGACTGGGACATTATGCAATAAGGTTTGTGAGATGTTTGGGTCCAGAAAGCCATTGTGGCTCATGTGTGTGGTCATGACATGCAGCTTAGAGGGTATGGGTTCTGGTCCGTAGCAGATGAGCTACTTTTGATACCTCACATTAGCCAGCAATAGAATTAGAGGCTCAGACCCATCTGGGAATGCTAAATAATGTGAGATCAGAGGTGTGAATGAGGATTATAGGGGAAGGATTTGCCCAACAACACTTTACACTCCATTAACCAGTTCTATGAATATGTTAACCCTTCCTTTTTACTCCTGTTGGGCTCATTGAAGTTATTGGAGTCTATTGGTGCAGAGAAGCCCCTGTTCATCTCCCGTGGGTTATCTCAGGATAACAAAAATGGCTAAGGTAATGTATCACACATTGCTGGGTGGCTTCTCCTGCACTGCTGTTTGTGTTCCAAGGAGGAAAGGGGGGGGTCTTTCCACTGGGTAAACCCAGCTTGGCTGATGGCTCCGTCCCAGACTGGATGGCTGGGCACATCCAAGTGAGACTGAGTTCATCGAGTCTTCCCCTGGGTTCAGAGCAGCCACTCGTTGTGAGTAATGGCTGTTGACCTCAGTCTAGCGATGCTACTTATAAGGATGAAGTTTGCAGAATTCAGACTACAGCTTTCAGCGCCAAAGGAAATAATTCAGCTTAAGCAAATGCAATTGCCAACCTCTCTTGCGTACCCACCTGTCAAGTCATTTGTCACATTGTTCAAACAGTAGCAGTAATGCATAGGGAACTTGCCAGGGTCAACATTTTTCATGTTAGAAACTGTAGGGAGAGACAAAGAAAAATCAGTATCTGGATGCACAGGCTGTGTGAGAGAAAACGCTCCTGCACGGAGCAAAGCGCCAAGGCACTCACTGTTGTAAATGGTGACTGACACTTTGTGGAAGGCAAATGAGCTGTAAGACGTGATGCTCAGCAAAGAGAAGAGTTTCTTGGTACCTGCAGAAACACATGCCTATGCTATTAGTGGTTGGAACAAATTATGAGAACAGCGTGTTTTGACTCTGCTCATTTAATTTCTAAAAGACTCTGGAGGTGCTGATGCTATGCAGCTGCCTGAGACTCAATTCTTTCTCATTTCCACTGAGGAAAGGATCATTTGTATTACTTCTCTCTCTTTTTTTTTTTTTTTTTTTTTTAAATTCAAACCTAAAATGGATTACAAAGTGCTTTCCAAAGGCACCGCATAAGTAATTACCTTGTGTCTCTCTATAAACACACACTCATTTCTAGATTCTTTGAGACAGGCAGCTGTCTGCATTACAAACGCGCCAGGGTATCATGCTCCTAGAATCAATTCTGGAGGCAGACAGCACGCATTTATGGCTTCTCCTGCTAACACCCTTAGCCCGTTATCTCATTCACTGCCGGGCCACCAGGCTGTATGACCTGCCCGGCCTTGTCACATTACCTCTGAGCGCTGTGTTCAGCATACCGTTCACCAGCTCTGTCAGGTTAATAGCAGCCAGATCCACGGACTTTGCAGGCAGCTCTGAAAAAGAAGAGGGCTCTGAGAAGCTGGCGGCACAAAGAAATGGCCATTAATCCCCTGCTTATAGGGGGCAAAAATCTTCCAGAATGGGAAAAACAAAGCTGAGAAGATCATGTATTGGGGTGTGCTAAAAAAGCTGTGGTGAGAAAAGAAATATGCCAGGAGTGCAGAGAGGAGTCTGGAAAATAATAAGATACAGTGGGCAGTGCAATGGTAGGTCAAAATTTAAGTCAGGTGTTCAGTCACCTCTTCCCTTGAGCGTGCCTTTGAGCAGGCTGCCAGGGAGCAGAAGCCAGTCCTGACGTTTTGGTGCCCCCTCCTGCTGGGCAATGGGTATTTACTGCCAAAATTGCAGCAGACGTTTCTTTGCAGATCAAAAACAGAGGAGAAAGTACCTGGGAAATATTCCCCCTTCCCAAATTCTACATAGAACCGTCATGAAAATGCAGATTTTTATTTTATTTTTTTTTTAGCTACCTTGATGGCTGTACTGCTATGACAGAATAAATTGACTGTAGCTGAATCACGCTTTTTATTTTAACATGTTTTCTTTCTGTTGGCGTTGCTTGTTTGTTTTTCCCAAGTCAAAATTTCTGAAGATGTTCTTTTGCTTCCCTCCCACAAAGTCATGCAGAAGCAGAGCAGTGTGGGATCTCTGTATGCGTGTGTGTGCATGACAGAGAGATTAAAAACAGAGCAGGATGGAAAAAGAAGCGCAGAAAGCTGAGATGAGAACAAAATCGAATTTGGGGAGAGACAGAATTTTCCAATGACATCAGTATTATTTTTAACCAATTCGAAACCAAGCTGCACCCCAAGGCTGGAAGCAGGGCTTGTCCACAGTGTAGAAGAGAGGAAAAGGAAAACCAAAGGGAATGGAGAGCTGGGAAGGAGAGAAAGGAAAAAGAGGAAACATTTTAGGTTCCTGGAAGGAGGGAGGTTAAACTCACCAGGAACCTGGGTAAGCCCTGTGTTGGGTGAGGAACCCTTGCAGCAGTGGTGGGTTGGGGCTCACAGACTCTGCAGGAGAAGGGCCCATCCACCACCACCTCTGTGTCCAGCACAATACCTCCACTCCCATTAACACCCCCACACAGGGTCTCCTGATGTGCTGCTTGTTACCTGCGGTAGCCAGCACTGCCACTTGCTTCTCTTTCTTATTTTCTCTTCTCATGCATGAAGCTGTGAAGTGAAGAAAGAGACTGAGATACAGTTTGCCCTGCTGAGCTCCCGAGCAACTTTCTGTTGAGCTCTCTGCCCAGGTTACTTTGCTGCTCTCATTTATTATAGCTCTGAAACCAATGGACATTAGCACTGCAAAGCAGGCCACTGGGTATCCACAACAGCAGCTGATCAGGGGCCTAAGAATAAGGATGTCCTAAAGGACTTGCCAGGTCCTTTAGCTGCCAGCTAAAGAAGAAAACAGGTTACATGTCAGAGCTTGTCCCCTAAACTCAAGAATCAAAAGAAAAGAGATAATTGCAAACCGTTATGGAGATCTGCACTAGTCTTGCACACAACATTGTCTGCAAGGTACATAGTATGATAAGGCCAAATCTAAACAAATTTTCACAGGCTGTCTGCATGTGTGTTATTCAGAGCAGTCATTCAATTGAGTACTGTTCTGAAGAGCTGTCTTATGGGAGGACATAAGACATCTTAACATGAGAAGGAACTTCTTTACTTTGAGGGTAGTGGAGCACTGGAACAGGCTGCCCAGAGAGGTTGTGGAGTCTCCCACTCTGGAGACATTCAAAACCCGCCTGGACGCTGTCCTGTGTAACGTGCTGTAGGTGACCCTGCTCTGGCAGGAGGGTTGGACTAGATGATCTCCAGAGGTCCCTTCCAACCCTAACAATTCTGTGAATTCTGTGACGAATGAACTGGAGCGGGACTCAGGAGACTGGACTCACTTCGATGGTTGGATTCTCTCGGTGACCAGCAAGGGCAAGGTGCAGAGCAGCAACAGGCATCGCAGGACAAGTTGAAGTGCGGAAATTTGGTGCCTAGGCTCACTATCCCTATCAGTGGAGAGCTGAGTGACTCCACAGAGTAATCCAGAAGGCTCTCCAAATCATAGAATCATAGAATCATTTAGGTTGGAAAAGACCTTTAATTCCATTGAGTCCAACCATAAACCTAACACTGCCAAGTCCACCACGAAATCATGTCCCTAAACACCACACCTACACATCTTTTAATTACCTTCAGGGATGGTGGCTCAACCACTTCCCTTGACCCTTTCGGTGAAGAAATTTTTCCTAGTATCCAAACTAAACCTCCCCCAGTACAACTTGAGGATGTTTCCTCTTGTCCTGTCGCTTGTTACTCAGGAAAAGAGATCAACATCCACCTCACTACAACCTCTTTTCAGGTAGTTGTAGAGAGCAATAAGATCTCCCATCAGCCTCCTTTTCTCTGGGTTAAACATCCCCAGTTCCCTCAGTTGCTCCTCATAGGACTTGTTCTTTAAACACCTCACCAGCTTCATTGCCCTTTGTTGCCCAAATGAGCCAGTGCTAGCAAATGCTAAACTCCCTTGCTTCTCTGAATCTTCAGCTTCTCAGTCCACCCAAGCTTCCCAGAGGGAAGTCTTCTCTGGGAGCTGGTGTTGAGGAGGGCTCAGTCCAGTGGTGGTGATGCCCGACTCTGTGTTATAACGTAATGGACAGAGCTCTCACCAGGGAGTAGAAAACCTTGGTTCAGCTTCCTCTTCATCAAGAGGAAATCTGTAGGACTGGAAGCAGCAGAAGAAAGAGAAGATGTGACTGCGTGGTCTGGCTGTTTGTACCTAAATTGGTGAAGCCAGAGTGCTGGTCTTATTCATACAAAAATCTATGCCTTGTACAGAAAACAACCCCGAATACATTTTCCTTTCTCCTTCTATCTTTCTACATAAGGAGAAATATCCTATGAAGAATCCATGGTACAATATTTGTGAATCGTGGCTCTTCGTATGGTGCTAGTCAGCTGTATTAACAACTCTCACTTAGTATTAGTTAAATTTGGACCAATAATCTAGGTGGTAAGAGCTCTTCTAACCCTTCTCTCTCTTTCCATATAAACCCTTCCGACTCAAGATTCATGGCATGGGAGCCAAGAGTAGACCTTTTCCATCATCTGCTCTGTCCTTGTGCATGCCACCAACCCTGGTGCTCTAGCCCATCAGCTTTGCCTACGCAGGGTGAAAGAAACAAGCCTGACACAGATGTGGGAATGGGGCTATGGGAGTGATTGGTAAAGAGTCACTTGGGCTATTCCCTGGGGACCACCAAAACATTGTCCTTACCCATGTTGCAAACCAGAAAGAGACACAGAAATCCCAGGCTCATCTTCGCAGGCACATGCCAGCAGAACAACTGCATTGTGGACTCTGACTTCCAGAAGTTTGGGTTGCTCTAGGAGAAAAAAATATTGTTTTGGTGGCATTAAAGGTTTTGGTGTTGTGCAATTTTGTCCAAACCTTGTCCCAGAATGATGTGACCATGAGAGAAATATTAGGTCTTTGGGATGCAGAGAAAAGATGTGACCATGAGAGAAATATTAGGTCTTTGGGATGCAGAGAAAAGATTGGTGGTGTAAACGGCAAAGAATGAGAAATCACACAATCAGTATTTTCTGCATATATGTTAGTGTCATGAGTTTAGTATCTAACTCTTGATTTTTGAGCCCTATGTAATTGTAGCTTTGATGGGACTTGGTAAGGTCGTCTACACAGTCCTCTTCTCTGGCAGGATGACCTGTGCCCAAAGGACACTGACACATCAGGTGCTTAAACCCTTTCTGTTGAAACAAGATAACATTTACTTAAGTTCAGTTTCAGACCAGATATCAACTGAGCTCCTTTTCTGCAGAAATGTGGCTTGTCCAGTCATCTCTGGTCTTGTATTTCTATAGTTAATTATTGCCACCAGGCTGTGTCCTGTGCTGCCTTGCCTGGTTACTTGGGAGGGATTAGCAGTGCTCTCCTTTTCACACAATGAGCTGCTTTCCAGGTTTCAAAGCTTTAATTAGAGGTGGTTAGAAAAAAAGGAAAGTCCTTGCTCCTTTGCATGTTCCCCCCTGTTTTTGTAATATCAGAATACGCCAAATAGCTCTGTAGTCAGAAAACAAGGGAGCATATGAAAACACAAAGAAACTCCAAACATTTTTTCTCATATCCTCTCAGAGTAGCTAATCTTGCGTGTATGCAGCAAACCATTATCTTGAAGATAATACTGTTTGATTAACAAACTATTATCATCATGTTTAAAATCTTTCTCATATTTAATTCACGAGAGAATTAACACATTCTGAAAATAGCTAATTTGTACTTAGCAGTTCTGAAGAGACTCTTCCTTGGGATGATGAAACAATACCAAGCAGTTCTGTGTTTGAAATGTCTGTGTTTGCTCGTCTGATGAGTCAATAGCTTTTAAGTGCCAGCTCTGCTACTTTAAACAAAGCTCTGAGAAGCTTTTTAGGTAGTTTGTCCTATCTATTCAGTCTGTCTGCCTCATCATTTTTACTCAACCCCAAGCCTATGCTCATCCATGGTTCCTGCACAGCATGTGCAGAAGAGTGGGGCTGAGGCAGAGAGACAGCAATGGCCAAAACTCACTCCCCAGACTTCATACTCCCTCACCTTTCTGTGATCTGGACTAACTATGCATGGACAGAGTCCAGTGTCCCATGCACCAGTCTAGCATCAAAAATCCTAAGCTTGGCTCTTCTTGCAGCAATATTTGGGATCTGATCCACTATTAGACTACAGACCACAAATGTATTGCTGGCACGAGAATTACAGGACCTGAAACCCCATCAAGGGTATCCCTGCTGCCCCTATCCAGTATTATGAAGCTTACTGGGACTTGTAACAGCTTTTTCTATGGACCTGTAGACTCTATAGTCAGGGGAGACCATAGCATGGTAGCTCAAGCCTGCTACCATGCTGACGGGATGGAAGCAGTGGTGACATAATCTTCATTAAGATAGGTATAAAACTGATCCACACATAGATTCTGCTCAGTTATTTTTTTTTCCCCTCTAAGGTTTGACTGTATGAAACGGAGAGGAGTTAATAAGTGATACTCCTCAGTGGCGCTGAATTTCAAGAACTGGTGCTTTGCAAAGGTGCGGGGACATGACTGTTGGGGTGAGCAGGCTCTGGGGTCACCTGGGGTTATGGGATGGAGAGTTGGGCGATCATGTCAAGGGGAGGTTTGTAGATTTGTAGGTTTGTAGAGGTTTGTGTTTTGGAGCAGGAGAGCTATAGTGGCTGGTGCTGCTAGTAAATTAAGTGTCCCGTTAAAAGGAAACTGTTGGGTTATGTGTTTAACTGAGGTCAACAGTAGGGTGATTTGCTGGTTTGGTTTTTTTTTTAATGGAACATCACGAATTTTTATTCCTGTACTATGAGAAGTGACTGTCTCCTTAGCTCTGGAAGATCTATGTTACGATGAGCCGTGCTTCATGATGGCGGTCCAGTGTTTGTGGGCCACAGATCTCCCCCTTAACAGGTTCCTTATGACCCGTTCCCTGCACACAGGGTGTGATCAGGATGCATGGCCAGTGCTGCCTCTGTGCATGTCGACCAGGGGACATCAATATGAAACGTGACCAAAAGCAGTGCTGCCACCATACTGTCCCTGTGGCATGAGGCTGGTCTTAGCTGGAGCTGGGGTCACCTGGGGTTATGGGATGGAGAGTTGGGCGATCATGTCAAGGGGAGGTTTGTAGATACCTGTGTTTTGGAGCAGGAGAGCTATAGTGGCTGGTGCTGCTAGTAAATTAAGTATCCCGTTAAAGGGAAACTGTTGGGTTATGTGTTTAACTGAGGTCAACAGTAGGGTGATTTGCTGGTTTGTTTTTTTTTTTAATGGAACATCACGAATTTTTATTCCTGTACTATGAGAAGTGACTGTCTCCTTAGCTCTGGAAGATCTATGTTACGATGAGCTGTGCTTCATGATGGCGGTCCAGTGTTTGTGGGCCACAGATCTCCCCCTGAACAGGTTCCTTATGACCCGTTCCCTGCACACAGGGTGTGATCAGGATGCATGGCCAGTGCTGCCTCTGTGCATGTCGACCAGGGGACATCAATATGAAACGTGACCAAAAGCAGTGCTGCCACCATACTGTCCCTGTGGCATGAGGCTGGTCTTAGCTGGAGGGTCTCTGCTACAAAGGAGCTTA